TCAGTGGTCGAGTGTCCCTGAGGTCAATCCCTGTTACCCCCCCCAAAAAAAATAATTTAAAAAGGACTGGGTTTGAGGCTTGGTGGTAGAGTACACCTGGGTTCCATTACCACAACAACAACAATAATAATAATAATAAATAAAATAAATAAAAAAGAAAGAAAGAAAAAAAGCTAGCTCAATCAAAGGGGTGCATTTGAATCTATAAAAAAAAACAATGAACTGTGAATACTTTTGTGGGGGGCACCTTATGACAGAATAATGTCATCTATTTTGCTAAAATAATACATTGTTACATTTGTCCTAAAACAACTTAAAATTACCATAAATGTTTAAAATACTATTTAAATATCATCAATAAGCATATATTTCGTTCTCATATATGATACTGATCTGAAAAATAATGTGTATGACAAGAATTAGGCAGACATAATTTATGCTTGATGTTTGATAAGAAATATTCTATTCATATCTTAAATATACTTTGAAAATTGCTTCTATCATCCTTTCTCCCTTTAAATGATATATTTTTTTGAAGAATTGTAAATACTTGGCATGTGTGAAAAGCTTAATAATATGGCTTAATGTTAAAAATGGAACCAGGATTTTAAAAAATAAATAAGCTTTAAGATTTTCTTTTGCCCTTTTCATATTTTCTACCTCAATATCTCTTGATATCCTCTATCTCAATTTCCAAGCATTTTGCAAATGGTTAAAAACATAATAAAAGTTGCAATGTAAATAAAAAGTCAGTACTTAGAATACCACTTGGACCCTGAAACATCTGATATATTAATAACTTCCCAAATAGAGAGTGTAACTGTGAAACTTCAGGGCCTTATGCAAAATATACAATGTCTTATTTATTATATCAGTTGGAAACATGTAAAATTCTCAAATTTCTAATTTGAAATACATGTCTTGAGCTGAGGATGTACCTTAGTGGTAGAGTGCTTCCTGGATTTGATCTATAATGCGGCAAAAGAAAGAAAACATAGCCTTTACTATATTCATAGCAATTAAAACTCATATGAATAAAAGGTATACATGAGAAACTAATACATAATAATTTTATTATGAAATACAAGACATTTTATTTAAAAGGCAGTTCACATATATTTGTTCATAAGCTACAATAGACCCAAATACTTGCATTTCAGGTAACACAATAATTTATAAATTACAAATTTATTGTAATAATTTAATAATTTATTGTGCTTATTTCAATCTATGGGAATGCATTCTTATCATTTTATAACTACAAATAAATTTCTTTGTGTGCTCACAGACAACTTAAAAAGCATTAAATTTAACTTTTAGTCATGAAAGGGCAAGAGTAAAATTTGTTGAATCTGCTGGATAAATATTTTATGTAAAAACATATCAATTCAAAGAACCCCAGGCCATCAGGAGGGAAATATCTCAAGTTCAAACATCAGATAAATACATAGAACTGGATGTCCTTTCAAAACTGAAATTGTCTTCTGACTTATAACAAGAAAATATCTTTCTACTGATAAGGGACTAAAAGTATTTGGCTATTCTGAGGTCACATACATTGCGTCCATCAACAAGGTTTACCAAATTATTTCATCTGTTAGACCTTTAAATGTCATAAAGCAGCACTATTTATTTTATTTAGGATGTTTAGTTTGAGTCTAATTTTAAGCTCCCATATCTCTTATGTTCTTAAATTAATTCATACAAATCCCTGATTAATAATAAAAGGAGTTGCCATCAGTATTCAAAGCTCAGCCCGAGCTGTCATGGCTGAGAGGACAGAAATCTGCTTGGAGCAATGAGAGAACCCAACTGAATTCTTGGCGTCTCAGTCTATGAATGTGTAAGCACTTCATCTGTTCATGGGAACACAATGCTCTGGCAGGCTGGGGTAAAGGTGGCTGCATGGGCAACAAACTGGAAGAGATGGGAAGCAGTACTACATCAAAGTAGTCAATGGCATATATTTTCCAAGTTTTCCTTTTATTTTCACAAAAGGACTGTTAGTGTGAGCTATTTGTGTTCTAGACTCTTATTTCATTACGATCACTGCTATCCATCCAACAATCTTTGCAGAGGTCACATGTGGAGTTGACTTTTAATATTATTTTATAAAAAAAGTTTTTGCAAATCAGAGCATAAAATAAAACAGGTCAAATGAAAATGGATTATCCTTCTTTTTTGTAAATCCAGTGGTGAGAAGAATACTCTCTCAGACCAGATTTCCACTTGGCAAGTATAGGTGTTTGAGAAGGAAAATGTACATCTCTGAATGACAGTATAGCAGTACCTGTCTGCAAAATGAGCATAATATCTATCTTAGAGGATTATTATGAGCATGACACAGTAATAAGTAAAAGTGTTCTGTAAACTGTTATATACACTTTATAAAGTATTATACAATACACACATGATATGTACTAATAAAAAAAACTGACCTGCACTTCTCTTTAAAAAAAAAAAAAAACTGACCTGGAAAGTTAAGTGGTTTCTTTTATTTATTTCTTCATTAATATCCTTTTCTTTTTTTTTTTTTTGGTACTGGGGATTGAGCCCAGGAGCAATTAACTACTAAGCCACATCCTCAGCCCCTTTTTTATATTTTATCTAGAGACAGGGTCTCACTGAGTTGCTCAGTACCTCACTAAGTTGCTGAGGCTGGCTTTGAACTCATGATCCTCCTGTCTCAGCCTCTTGAGCCGATGGGATTATAGGTGTGCACTACTGTGCCCGGCTCTTCATTATATTCTTCACTCATATTAGGAATTTCAAAGAAGCTAAATTTATTGCATGCTTACTATGTATCTGTCAAGTACCTTATATATTAACTTACTGATTCTCAGAACAATCCTGAGTCATGTACAATTATTTCCATTTTACACATTTAGGAAACTGAGACACAAAGTAAACTTGACAAAGGTCACATAGCCAGAAAGTGACACTGCTAGGACTTGGATCCATACAGTCTAGCTCTTCACTGTTACACTATTTATTCTTTTAAACATTCAATAATTCAACAAATTAATAAGCATGGAATGTGAGTAGACGTGATACATGTCACTTCTTTTTTTTTTTTTATACTTTTATTTATTTATTTTTATGTGGTGCTGAGGATCGAACCTAGTGCTTCACACGTGCTAGGCAAGCGTTCTACCACTGAGCCACAAACCCAGCCTGATACATGCCACTTCTAAGCCAAAGTTTTAAGTGCATTTGTGGGATCTGGCTCTGTCTGCCTTCAGTCCCTGTCCCAGAGTGAGTATTCATTAAGGTTATAGCTCAGACTGAGAAGACACATGAAAGCAAGATGAACTGAGACCAAACCAGACTACCAGAATCCAGTAGAGTCTCAACTGATCCCAAAACCTTTTGAAATATCAGTAAGATAAACAAAGCAGAATTAAAGTAAGAGTATATGAAATGTTGTCGCTCATCTAATAAGATGGCGACATGGGTGAAACAAATATTTGTTGGTGTAAGCCACTGGAAATTGAGGGCTGTTTATTGCTGTAGCAAATGCAAACTGATATACATGTACAGTCCACAGCTTAGCAATGAATAACATTTACACAGTCACAATAACATGAATTCAATACAGATGCAATCAGAAAGCTGAAATTAAAAGTTGCGATACAACTTTTTTAAGAGGTCAAAGAAAAAATAGAGGGAAAGATGATTAAAAAACTTAATCCAAAAATAAAATAGAAAGAAATTGATAATGTCTAAAGTGGAAAAATCAAGAGACAAAAGCTTATTATTTAGAATTATACATGCAAATTTCAAGATAAACCACTATAAGAATTGAAACCTTTTGCCTTAAGGAAGCTAGAATCACAGAGCTTTTTTTGTTATAAGACTAATAGTACTATTAATTTTTTAAAAACTATCTATATGTATTAATTTTGTAAAAATCTTAAAGCACAACATTAAAATAAAAATAATAAAATCAAGAAAAGCAATGATATTAGGTTTATTTTTTTTTAAGGCAAAAAACACCACCCTCCACCCCCCACATGCACACAAAGCAAATTCTAATTGGAATTAGAAGACCTGAAATTATTTTTTCACAATTTGACTTCTGCTTTTCTCTGGCCATCTCTCATGCCTTTTTATTATATAGTGGAGAACAAATAGTATTATTGGTCCTCCTTTACTCTAGTATTATAATTTTACATTTTCAATTACAAATGCCCTTGACAATATATTATAGTAAATATGTTGCCTAAAAAGGAGGTATTATTAAGGGCTAACCTATAGAGGGAGTTCTTAACCATAATAGGCTGGTTCTTTGTATATCTGACAGATTATCTACGATCACTGCATGTCCTCTTCCTAACTAGTACCACCTTTTTAAGCTCAATATATGATTAGCTTTATTCATAAAATAAATAAATTAAGAATATATTCTGAAAATAAGTTAGCATAGAGTCCCTTTAACTAGTGGGTCAGCATTTGAAGAATTGGATTTATCAAAATTCTGACACAGATTACGAGAAATATATTTATTGAGCAAAGAACAATATATCCATTTGTGGTAAAATGAAAGAAGATGTTGTAGCTATTTATAAATAGCTCTCATTTATAAATGAGAGTGCTATCATCTATAGATTTTACTTACCATGCTAAAAGTATCTCCTTTTATCTTAAACAAACAGAAGTTATTTATGACAAGTTTCAGCTATGTGGATAGAAATATGTTGGCTATAGACACAGAAAGTATCTTAACTGGGTGACATCAACTCATTTAGGTATTCTGATAAGTTCTTAACCATAATGTACTTTTGAGTTGTAGTTCAAAGGCCCATCATTTAGAAAAAGGCATTGGGGCAAAACAAGAAAGCAAAAGAAAAAATTAAACTAGTGTGTTTTATAACCTTACAAGGCTATAGCATCCATTCATCAGAAACCAAAAGAGGGTGTTTTCATACCTCTTCATCTTTCGTATTCACATCCGTGTTTTTCAATTTGATGGCTTTGGTTATATGGTCAATGTTGTTTTCCCTGCAGTAATCAAATATGTTTTTGTCTTCTTCCCTAATTAGAGTTAAAAAAAAAAAAAAGCTATTTGTCCTCCGGATAATATATAAAAGTTACATATTTTTAACATAACCTGTTTGCTACTAACATACACATTAATAAAATCTGTTTTTATAAAACAATTTTAAAAAAGAAAAATTTATAATAGATATGATATGCCCAACCCCCCACTCCAAAAAACTAAAGTTCTTATCAGCTATAATTATGGGGAAAACTTCATCTGCTTTATCACATTACACTGGTATATCTACTCAATGTCTTGAAGTATATTTTTTCAGAGCCCTTTCCCCAGTTACTCTTACAATGGAGAGGCACACGTTTCTTCTAACTACAGATTTTCAATTATAGCACTGCAATAAGATGGCAGATTTTGGTCCCTCATTTACTGCTGTGTGAACCATACTTCAGGACATAGCTCACAACTTGCCTTGCAGGATGACAGAATACTGAGTGTTATCATGTTTTAATAAGAAAGTAATTTTCTTAAAGATAACTAGACAAAAGGAGGTATTTAAAAATTCAGAAATCCTTTGTAAGAGTAGAATTAAAGACTGGGAAGCATACTCTGCACAAAGCACTATCCTTAGTATATTGCATGTGCTAATTCACTCCATCTTTAACTCAAAAGGAGGCAAGGAGTGGTTACATGTCCTTCCAAACGGCACCACATTTATCCACAGTAAAATGAACTAAAACTCTGCTCTTGACTAGTCATGATTGTTGCATTCTACTCCAGAATCTAAAAGAGAAGTTCTTAATATGAGGTCCGTGAACTCTCTAAAATAGTATACAGAATTATCCTTGCATGGGCATTTTTCTGGGTTTTGGGTAGTGAGAGAATAGCTTCATTCAGATTTCCAAAAGGATCAGCAGTAATTCCTTGGAGGATCAGAAATTTGGAATATTACAACAAAACTGTCTCATATGTGGTCTGAATTTAATGAATAGATATAAAAGAATGCATTTTGAGCTCCAAAAATTATTTATGTTTTATAAGTTGCAAGGCTATAACATCCATTCATCAGATATCAAAACATCTAGTCTTAGGAGTCCTCTATCTTAAAGTCCATTTAAACAACTTTTGTGGTATAAAAAGTTATATTATGTCATAGGTGATTATCATAAAACACATTATGTTGGCATCAATCATTTAAACACTTTCTTAAGCATCTGGATATTTTATTGAGCACTTATTACATACAAGGCACTAGATAAGATTCCGTTGATAACAGATACAAAGCTAAGCAAGAAAGTTTGCTTTTTTCACAAATAAGCTATAATTGGGATAATAATCTATACACTATTAACATAAATTAGAACTAGGGATGGGGCTGGGACTCAGCAGTAGTGCACTTGCCTGGCATGTGTGAGGCATTGGGTTTGATTCTTAGCACCACATATAAACAAACAAACAAATAAATAAATGGATAAAATAAAGGGCTATCAACAACTAAAAATTTTTTTTAAAAAATAAAGTAGAACATAGTCTTAAACAGGACTATAAAAGAACAAAAGAGAAACAACCCACTTCAAGCTGAAGAAAATGAGAAAAAGGAGGAAGCCATACTCAATTTGAAAATGTCCTGTTTTATAGAAGTGAAAATGCACTTCTAGATCATTTATTCTGTAAAGAAAATATGGAAGACTGAACTCAACACTCCAGAAAGGAAGTCTGATTTTTAAAATCAGGGCTTCATATAATACCAAATCAGCTAAATTATCAACAAAAACACTATTCATGGGGCTGAGGTTGTGGCTCAGTGGTAGAGCACTTGCCTAGCATATGTGAGGCCCTGAGTTTGATCCTCAGCACCACATAAAAATAATAAGCAAAATAAAGATATTATGTCCATCTAAAACTAAAAAAAAATATTTAAAAAACACTATTTATATTAAAAAGCACATTTAGAGTTCCAACTTGGGAATAATAGGGACTTTCCTCTGGAAACTGGTCCTAATCCAATATCAGAGACCCCTCTAATTCAAAAGACATCAACCTCAAGCATGAGAGAAGGGACAGTGTTATTTTAAGTCATTACAAATATATATTACCCACCAATTGTTTAATCTGAAAATATGGGGCATTGATGGTGACACACAAAGGAAAGCAGGAGGATCCTAAGGATGTGGGCTACCCATACAGTAACGTGCAAGGACTATTCAGAGATGAGAGGATCTTCTGAGTGGTCCCTCCTTCTGATCCTAACTTTCAGTACATGTAATCTATGCTATGAGTACTAAAGGAGTAAACAGACTAAAATTTTATTTTGCTTCACATATTTTCAATATATTTCTTAGATACATCATCTGTATCAATTATTTTGTCTTTGTATTTGAATATTTTGGAGGACAAGGGGCACCTGTCTATTTAAATGCCTGTTTACAGTATGTAGTTTATTATCACTGATTATGACAGGCAGTATAAAATACCTCAGGGTAGGGTGCATATGTAAATTAAATATAAAAAAGAGAAGTTTAATAAAATCACCACAAACGTGCTACAAAATTGAGTGTTTAATATAAAAAAATTAGAGGATACTCTTAGCCTTAATTGTTAAACATATGTTTTCATTTCCAAACCAAATTTTTGACTATTTTATTTGCCAGCAACCAAGCTGTCTTTATACAATGTCACCACCTAGTGGCCCAAATGGAGAAATATCTGGAGCAAAAGCTTTCCACACATCCTTTTTTGCCCCCAACAAAATCACACACATTGTACAAACTGAGTTCTTTCTCCCACTACATTTCCTTGTTGGAGCTCAAAACCATCTTTCAAGGCAGTAGTCTCCTCTATAGCCATACTTATTTTAAATAATATATACAAATTAATCCAAGCATTATGAAGTATTGTAGAGCTACAATGAAAATGTCAATGCCCTTCTACTCTTCTCACTATTTCTCTTATGATTCCTACTAAGTTATTTTGATTCTTCTCTGTTGAATATGAGTCTAAACAGTATATGTTCTCTAGGATGAGTGTGAGTTATGTTGGTAATACCACTTGCCTTAGGGATACCCCATTTTTTTCCTAGCACAGACAAAATGTCTTTCTTTATATTACTCCAAAGTATTTAAAATTGACAAAAATACATTTACATACCTTAAGGGAAAAAAATCACTGGTTTTCTATGAAATTCTTTTGAAATATAAGAATAGACATGAGCAAGAGGTGAGGGTATTGGGTGTGGCTATTTCCACCCCATCATAGAAGGTCCAGATCCCTGTCCATTCCTAAAGATGTTATCTGTGCCATTTTCTACACAGACTTATTTTCCTATCATAGACTGTTTCTCAAGGCAAGCCACATACAGTTCATTTAACTACTATTACATAAAATTAAAAAACACATTTATGGGAATAGTTCAGAAATACCACTATTTAATAGATATATTCAACAAATATTTCAATTCAATTTTTTTAATCAACCAAATTGAAATTAGATACAAAACAGTATTTAAGTAAATTGATATTGGATGAGCATTTACTGATGCATGGAAACCTAAAGAAAAATAAAATTGTGGATGTGTAACCGACGTGATTCTGCAATCTGCATTTGGGGTAAAATTGGGAGTTCATAACCCACTTCAATCTAATGTATGAAATATGATGTCAAGAGCTTTGTAATGTTGTGAACAACCAATAATAAAAAAAAGAAACCTAAAGAAAATATCCACAAAAATATAGTCAATATCTTCAAAAAATACAAATTAATTCATTAATTCCTCAAAGTAAGGGCTCTAGGATAAAGACTTTTAAAGGGAAATGCAGGTATGGATTTAAGTGAAGCAGTTTCTAGCTCCTCAACTTCTCAATGAATGAATTTTTTTCCCTAAGCAGATCTACCTTAAACAGTTCCTGTAGTAAATATTTCATCACCACTCTCCTTTTCCACATTCTTACTACTCCAACACTCTCTTCTTGGTTTACAAAAGTAAGGTATACACCTCGTTATTATGTAGTGTCCCAAGATAGAAAATGCTCCAGGGTACTAAATCAAGTGACACTTTTGGTAAAATCTGGTGTAAGAAGGCCTTCTATAACTGAGTTGATGAAGGAAGAGATGAAATAAAACAAAAAACAGACTTGATACTGAATTCTGATCGTTCCAATAAAAAAAATTTTCAGGTTTGGGTGTACTTCAGTGGTTCAGCGAATGCCTAGAATGTATAAGGCCCTAAGTTATCCCCAGCACCTGGGGGGCCAAAAAAAAGGTCTGTTTACAATAAACTTTTTCAAAGTCCCATCCATCTTATTAATTGTCATCTTTTACTTATATTTGATGACATAACAACAAACTTATAAACAAAACTTACATACATTTAATAATACATAACATATCAACTGTTCAGAAATAGTAAATATAGAATTATACAATCAAATAAAAAATAAATGCTTAAAACTTTTAGATCACAGAAAATTAATCTTTGAAAATTCAATTTACATACATATTTTTGTAAATAATTATGACAATGTCACAAGACTATGCAGAAATATATTACTTCAAAATGAAAATTATCTAGAAATGAAAAAAATGAGATATAAAATTTCTGTTGAAGAACTCAAGTCAACTTTTTAATCAAGATCAGAATCAATTTTTATTTGAGTTAATTGAAGACTCACTCAATTGGAGGAAATAATAAAGAGATCCTGAGTACTCTTTGCCCTATTTTCCTTAATAATAACATGTTTAAAAATGGATTATCCTTATATTATCTAGATTCCACTAGAGTGATGTGTTTATTCAAAAATTGCATTATCTATAAAATGCCAGAAATTACATCGTTTGCAATCATTTACTGTTGAATGAAAAAATTTAGATGTTATCTTAAAAATTCTTAGGAACTACAAAGTGATTTTTTGAATGCCACTGTCCTTACCCAAAATTTTACAGAGTAGAGGCCAAAAGCAAGTAGAAGGCTACTCCAAAAGGATGCTTAGAAAATCATACATAGATAAGGAGTTGATATTTAAAATATATAAAGAACTCAAAAAAC